CTCTCTGTGTGTTTTCATGCTGGAGGGGCTATTCCACGTGTTGTTTTTCTCTCCTTGTAAGTTATTGTTCTGTTCCTCTACACACTCATTACTTCCAGCCTCCCTCAGTGTGTGTGAACGCAGCAGGCATCACGCAGGACCACTTCCTGCTCAACATGGAGGAGGATCACTTTGACAGAGTCATCCAGGTCAACCTGAAGGTATGAAGCAAGTTCAGCGTGTAATCGAGTCTATCAGGTTAACGTCAGAGGATGACATCACAATCTAATAACTAGGGATGTGCCCGTTAGTCCACTTAAAGGTTGGAAGTCATCACCCTCACTAGTCGGCACCAGAATTACAAGTTACAAATGATTCATATTTTTAGATGTTGGCCCTCGATGCCGGTTCATTTGTGCTCAAATTGCAGCACTTCTTAAAGCACTCTTCTTCCATCACTGCTGTTGAGACATAACGTGGGTCGACTTTTGTGAGAAGAATCAGAAAGAAAGAAATCAGTCTCTGTTGTCTTCAACAGGAAACAACCGAAGATTCAAGTTTCTCGTTGTTGCACTTGAAGAAAAGAATTCATAAAATGATTCTCTCACAAAACTTCTAAAAAACTGCACGAGTGAACGCAAACAGACACATTTCTACTCCGACTTTATCTGGAATTCTTTAGCCGGCAGCCCCCTGATCATTTTTCTGCATGAAGTCGGGTTAGCTGATGTGAGAACGCAGCAGGAAGTATTCAGGTAAATTCACTGTGAGGGAGCAAGAGGGGGTGGTAACGTTTCTACCTCAGGACCCGTGCACAACCAGAGACTGTATGACCGCGATATGTGTGATCTCTGTGCACGTTATTAAACCGCTGCCTTAAGTTTTCTGTCCTCCAGTATGTACAAAAAAACTGTCATCATAGAGTTGGACTCTGTTGCTCTGTCCACCACCTCTGACTGCCTGAAAATAATGAAGACTTTCAGTAGTGCATGAGTGAAAATGTCTTTATTGAGGCTGAAGAACGTTTAGGATTGTTGTGTTTTGTCCACAGAGCTGAATGATTTTTGTTATTATTTCAAACACTCTTTTCTCTGGTGCTGATTTACTGTGAAGAGATGAACTCACTCCTGCTCCTGCGTCTCTTCCAGGGCTCCTTCTTGATCACTCAGGCTGTGGCTCAGGCTCTGGTGGCCTGTGGAGCACCCAAAGGATCCATCATCACCGTGGGCAGCATCGTAGGAAAGGTGAGAGAGCTGCAGAGAGACGCTTTCTAGACGACAGTTTCACTTCTCTGTTGAATCTTTTAAGGTTTCTTTTCAAATGTATGAACATAAGTGTGTAAGGACCTGGTGTGTGAATGTGATCACTTACTTGTGATGGACTCTTTACTCAGCAGCCTCTACCATCAGTGTGTGAATGTGTAGGTGTGACACGTGTTGTAAAAGCCCTTTGAGTCGTCAGAAGACTAGAAAAGAAATATACAAGCTCAAGTCCATTTACCATTTATCCTGAAGTTCATGTGGCAGCGTAATGATTTCTCTTTATTTATTGAACAGTGATCATCCGTCCATCCATCCACCTTGTGCTCGTAGCCAATAAAGGGTTAAATGGTTCTTGGATCCATGTGTTTGAATGTTCACACCAGCTGGAGGTTCACTGGTTCAGCATTTTAAAGACATTCACTCACACTCATTACTTTTAGTGATCCTTTTTTACGACTTCTTTGATCGAATGTCGCCTCCACAAACTCTGAATTATTAATCAGTCGTCTTTAAATCGTCTACAAAAGGTCGGAGAAATGCACGGATTGAAAACAAGCTGGTGAGGATGGAAACAATCAAAACACCAAACATGACAGGAACCTCAAACATGTTCACACAACCACACAGGGTTAGAAACAAACACACACCTGAATCCTGATTCTCTGCACCTGTTCACCTGTCACTCCCCTTTCTAGCTGCGTGTGGCTGATTACCCATGATGCCCAGGTGCAAAGGTGACGTAGCAGCAGCAGCAATAATAACCAAACTCAGCACACACACTATAGCACACATCAAACTGGCTCCAACAAATGTTTTTATATCATCACAATGTAGATGTTACTGAACTGAGCGGCTAATTTAAATATCTTTGTTCAGACGTTTCAGAACATGTGAATAATCCGTCTATAAGATCAACAAAGTAAAGATCATAAAGTTTATTGGAATCAAACTAAATGTTCCCACAATGGTAGCTACAGCTGTGTAAGTGTTTCCATGAATGTTGAAGTGAAGAAACACACAGACATTTGGAGTGTGAGGGACTTTATTGAACAGATCATTTACAGTACAAAGGTATGAAACAGCAGCTCAACACCACTAGTTAACTTAACCCAACACAGGAAGTGATTCTGAGAATTCATCTTCCACTTCCATTCACAAAACTCAGAGAGAAAACATCCCTCGTTCCTGAACACGAGCAGGAATTATATACAAGATTTCAACTGGATAGCTGAGACGCCTCCCACAAACAGTTTAGGATCTCTGATCAAAATAAAACAATAATTAGAGCTGTCAGCATTAACGAGTTCATCACGATTAATCTCATCTTATTTTGTCCCTTCAGGCTCTCCGTAGATAGTGGTCCTCAGTGTCTCCCTGTAGTCTCACTGATGTAAAAGAAGAACACTGCTGCATCTTTGAATGTCTCATTTCACTTTAACAAACTCTCAGACAGTAATATCCACCTGATGACATCACACATTGACCTGATGACATCACACATGACATCACCATTGACCTGATGACATCACACATTGACCTGACATCACACATTGACCTTCCTTTCACCGTTCCTTTGAGCTGTTTGACCTCACTTTGGATCCATAACCACTTCCTGTTTCTGTGTTTTAGTTCATGTCCTAACCTTCCATCTACAGGAAGCTCCTTACTCTATTTCAAAATAAAAGCAGGGCTAAATTCAAACAGCAGGTAAAGTACTCTCAGCTTAAGACAGTACAAATGTTTCAAAATAAAAGCCCAACAATTTATTTCAAACAAAATGCAAATTTTTAAATTTAGAAATTAATCGTGATTAAAAATTGTCATCGTTTGACATCTCTAATAAAAATGTTTCAAAATAAATCAAAAGAGGAATATTATGAAAAAAAAAAAAACATTCTCCTTATCTGTTAAAAAAACTCAGAGACAAGAATTATTATTTGCTTTGGTTTGTTAGTAATAAAAACAAAATGTATACAAAATGTACAAGCAGACTATTTACACAACTGGAAGATGAATCTTGAACTGATGATTTTATTTCACGTGTGTGATCATAGGGAGGCCTTTTAAAGACGTGGAAGGAACCAGATTGAATTATTATCTGTGTTTGGTACAAATTTAAGACAGTTCACCACTGAGATGAAACTCCACTCGTCTGTTTTTATTCTGGCTCATCTTGCAGAGAGTTACGGTGACTGCAGTGTGAGAGAGGTGGACTCCAGTAACACACACAGACGACCTTCACTCTGATTGTTCCTGAGCAAAATGTTTCAAGAAACCTGCAGAGATGAAGACGGTCAAACCGAACAATCATTTAACACATCAGTGTTTGGAGAGATCAGCTCTACAAAGCTACATATTTACACTGATTTCAACCTCACACAAGTTTAACAAAGAAGCTTCTTTAACAAGGCGTTTAAAACGGCGTTTTTAACAGTGAGAATGGTCCACGTCCCGTAGAGAGAAACTCACAGGGTGCAGGGTGGTGTGTTCATCATGTAGGCTCTGGATTCAGTTTCTCAGCGAGCTCAGAGCTGTTTTCAGGAGACGTTTCACATGTAGCTGAAATACAAAAACAAAGACGGGTCGTTTTAGTTCTCACGTAGGTCAGAAAGCCAGAAAATCATTTCTTCCCCTTTTCTAGTAACTTAACTCCAGGATTTAAACCTTCAACTGACACATGTATCTCGACTTAAGCACACAGCTCACTTTGTCTCGTGTACTAAAATTAAATAAATAAATAAAAACATCAAACAAACAATATTAAATTCATCTCTCTTTCTTAGGGGGGTTTTACATCAGGGTCCCAGGCCCGGATCTAAGTCCAGATCCGAGTACACTGGACCCTAAAGTCCGGTTCATTTGATCAGTGTGAACACAAACATACCGTACTCGTACTGTACTCAGCTACCGTGCCCGAGTCCGCTTGGTCCGTGTGAGATGTGAACACAACCGTGCTCAAGGAAGTGGACCGCGATACACAGAACAATGTTACTAATGTGGGGACCATCGGGGAGAGGGGAGGGGAGGATAATCCTGCTCGGGTACTGTACAAAACAATCATGCCTGATGTGAAAACGCCCTTAAAAGTCATAAAATACGACACAGCTGGAAAACTTCCTTACTGTTTGAAACAGATTTTGATACAACAGGTATTAAAGTCTTAAAGGTGCAATATGTAGATTTGGTACTGAAAGTTGAAAGTTGGAGAAGTGAAACAATTCTCTGTTATATTTCCTGAACTGAATACACAAACTTTACTCAAAAGAAAAATGGGTCCCTGGAACTCTGTTTGGAGCTAAAAAGCTACCAGGAGAGTTACAGTGTCACTGTTGAAGCCCCCCACCATAACTTCTCTCAGAGCATTTTATCTTCAAACATTGTTCCTCTGAGGACAGTTTGTGTATAGAGTTATGAACATATACCACAGAATCTGTACATTTCTTCAACTTCCACATTTCTCTACCAAATCTACAAAGTGCACCTTTAATAAACTCAAAGAATAACATTTAAAAACTTAAAACACCAAAAGAACAAAGTTTGTGTCTCTTACATTTTCTGCCTCTGTATTTCTTGTATCCAATGACAGCGAGGCCGAGAAGAACGAGTGCAGCGATGATGGCGATGATGGGGATGACGGTGTTCATGGGATTCACTGTTGAGCACAAATCAACAAACCACAGTTACAACCTGTGCAGATGAAGCAGGTTAGAGGAGGAGAACATGTGCCAAGCAGACAATCATCATCCTGTAAATAAACACTGTTTGTCCTGCTGCTCTTCATTTGAATCTCCACTTGTCTGTAAATAAATCCTGTATCTATGTTTGATTCATCTTCCAGTCGTGTTGTCGTCCTTTATCTGAATGCTGATTTCTTTATATGTTGATGTTTCGCTCTGAGAGATTTTGACAAACGGATTCAAACTCATTTTGACTGAACGAGGAAAAGAAAACTCACCGTGAATGATTTACTGACAGATATATTTATACATCCAGTAATTCATCAACTTGATCTTCTCTTCAACTAAAGGAAGAATGAGTGACTTTTTGATCCAGTAGATGTCGCCCTTGAGCAAACCAAAACAAACTGCTGTTTGGCCACGCCTCCTCCACACTCAGAGACATTCACACAGGATAGACTGGATTTCTGATATATTTATGTGTAACATGTCACACATTCATCCTTTAAAACTTTAACTTTGAGAAGTCAACACAGTGCCTTTAATCTCTCAAAATAAACATGTTTGACTTTTCTTCAACAACAGCACTCTAACTGTGTTTGATTCAATCATTTTCTTGATGGATTTAAAAACTGAAAACACAAAAAAATAAAATCTAAAGAGAAACTGAAATGAAATGATGTGGCTGTAAATGAAAAAGAGATGCTAACATGTGAATCATGATTTTTCTCCCTGAGATCTGAGATCACGATTCTCTCACATGATTCTTTTTTTTTTTTTCCAACTTTTAATTGAAAACTGCATCTTGGGGTCTCCCCTCAGAAAAATGTTAGCATCAGACATTTCTTTTCCTGCATTCTGATCATTATTTATGCTCCACTTTGGACCTTTTCTGCACAGCTTTATGATTATGTTTTAATCTTTTGGTCCTTTTTTGTGTCTTTTTCAAATCTCTTTCAGTGTTCATGAGACACATGTTGACACAATGATGAGTGCTTTCATTTGAATACTTTAATAAACATGTGGACTGGAGAGTTGAAGTAAATCTGCACTATTCCAGCCCTGCAGCTTCTCTCTC